GAACAAATTAATAATAATTCAACAGAAAATCTTAATAAAGAAGGAAGTTTAATTGATGCTAAAACATTTCGAACTGAATTACAACAAATTCGTAATTCAATACAAACAATTCTTGATCAACTTCAATTATCAACAAGTCAAAGTACAGTAAATAATCAAGAAAAAGAAATATCAACAGCAACAATTCCTACACCTGCTGTTGTTTCAAGTACAACACGTGAATTTGATCCATATAAACATTTACAAAATCAACGTTCAACTACTCCAGATAGTATTCGATCGAAATCTTCAACTTCAAATAAAATAAATAATAATAATAATAATGAACAGAAATCATTTCAACCTACATCATCTGCACCACCAGGTTACTTATTATTTTTTCAAAATTTCACTAAATTAAATATTGAATTTTCTTATTTTTATTTTCTAAATAGTCGATACTCAACATCAATATCACTCATCCGAATCAGTTGATACAAACAAAGCACCACCAACTTCGTTTCAACAAATGCCAACACCACACTTTGTTCCAACAGCATTCAATGATCAACAAACAAAAACATCACCATTTGGTGCTCCCCCACCAGCATTTCCTGGCATGCCACCTCTACCAACAAATGCTGGTACTCCTCGATTTCCTACAGCATTTCCTCCATCAACATTACCAAATGCAAATACAACATCAGCTTTCAATCCTACTTCAGCACCTCCATCAGCATTCAATCCTACATCAGCACCTCCTTCAGCATTTTATCCTACTTCAGCACCTCAATCAGCTTTCAATCCTAATTCAGGAGGAGCACCAACACCACCAGCTTCTTCAAATGCTGGTCAAACATCAACATTTATAGGTCAACAACAACAACAACATCAACAACAACAGCAACAGCAACAGCAAGCACCACCTCCACAACAAGGTGGTTTTTATGGTCAACAACAAGGTTTACTTCAGCAACGACCAGGTCTACCTGCTTTTAATTCTCAGCAGAATAATACATTTGTTCCTCAACAACAACAGCAACAATTACCACCACCATCAAGTTCATCACCAGCAACAATTAATCCATCATTTATACAACCATCAGCAATGCCAACTCCACCACCATTAGCGTCTCATCAACCCTATGGAGGTTTTCCACCTCAAAATAACTTCTTTAATCCTGGTCAACAACAACAACAATATCCCAAGTTATCATAATATACTGTAAAAGAAAACAAACAAGCACTTAACCAATCTTTTTTTTGTTTTTATCAATATATATTATCGTTTTTTCCGTATCCTTATTTATTCTATATATTTCTAGCCTTCTCTCATCATTTATATTACAGAGAAGGTATTTCATCAGGTTATGCTTTTTAATTTTTAAACAGAAAAAGAAATTAAAAAAATATACAAGAAGAAATGATTATTAAATAACTTTTTTTTTTCATTATGAGTAAGTAATGAATGATTGGTACCTATAACATATATAGGTGGAAACGGTAAGATTCTAAATCGGTTCTTCTCATCATTACATGTCGCAAGAGGAAAAAAATGACACGTTTTTTGCTTTCCTCGATGAATAACAAACCACTGTCTTTTTCTAGTTTGTTAAATAGTAGCCAATAGTATGTTTTGTCACGCAGTTATGCTTATTATATTTTTACTCTTCGTTGATTTTTCTTTCTCTCGTTCTTTTCTTCCATACTAAAGCTTACAATGGCGTCCACCTTAACTACATATGAATGCGCCCTATGAAATTTGAACGAGTATAATAGGTTCAAAGTACATTATATATATACATACATACATATATATATATTCGATACTTTAACTTTAGATCTATTTTGTGTAGTCGTACGATATAAAAATATCGATATCGATACACAAATAAAATATTTCTCATGGCTGAAGCACATGAAGCCGTCGCTTTTCAATTTACTGTCGGTGCCGAAGGTATTTAATTAAATATTTTTTTTCTCGAAATTTATTTATTTATTTATTTATATAATAGGTGTTAGTCTTAATGTAAGTTATGATGTATTTAAAGCATTGTTATATTCTGGTTTACGTTCATGGAAACTTCGTTGCCGTCGTACACTTAATTCCTTACATAATACGCTGTATCCTGGTCATCCAGTTCGTGGTATTGCTTGGTGTGGTATTATTTACACTCTCTATATAAAAGATCATGATCCATCATATAATATTATTGATTGGATTGATTCACATATCTTTCGACGATATTTTACACCAGAAAATTCAAAAACATGTGCAATTCTCGTTTTTGGAACTGGTACATATTTTGTTTTAATACAAATTCGACAATATATATTGAAATCATTATTTTCCTATCATGGATGGATGTATCAAGAACATGGTAGACCTGTTGGATTAGGACAAAAATTATGGGGAGGTTTAGTTAAATTATTCATTGGTCGAAATCCATCTTTATATTCATATCAAAGTGTTTTACCGCAATTACCATTACCAAGTTTAGATGATACATTAAAAAGATATTTAAGAACTGTTCGTCCTATATATGATGACATTGAATATCATCAAATGGAAGTATTAGCTGAAGACTTCCGACGAACAATTGGACGAAAATTACAAAGATATTTATGGTTAAAATGGCTTATATCATCAAATTATGTAAATAAATCTTATTTAAATAAGAAAATTAGATAATATATAATTTTGTTTAAAAATTTAGGTATCAGATTGGTGGGAAAAATTTGTTTATTTACGTGGTCGATCACCAATTATGGTCAATAGCAATTTCTACGGTCTCGTATGTATACAAAAAAAGCATAGGTTGCAATTAATCATAATTATCGATTTGTATTTATAAAAGGATATGGCTTATATCCGTCCAACACGTATTCAAACAGCTCGTGCAGCTAATATGGTTTGTGCTTCACTCAAATATCGTACTAGACTTGATCATCAAAATATTACACCAGTATGTTATATAAAAAAAAGATTTTTGTTCTTGATTAACTTTATATATTTGATTTTCTCAGTTAATGATACAAAATATGATTCCACTTTGTTCAAGTCAATATGAACGACAGTACAATACAGTACGTATTCCTGGCAAAGACGCAGGTAATATATTTTCTAATAATAATAATAATTTATTATCATTTTTTTATATTAGATACAATTGTTCATTATTCAGATAGTCATCATCTTGCTGTTTATCATAAAGGTCGTTGGTTTAAACTGATGATAGTTCATAATGATCAAATGCTTCAACCTTGTGAAATTCAAATGTATGCTAGATTTTTCAAATAATTCATTTATTTACTTTTTGTTTTTTGAACTATTTGTTATAGTCAATTAGATGAAATAATTCGCGATGCATCCGAACCTGCATATGGAGAAGAACATTTAGCAGCATTAACCGCTGGTGAACGAACATCATGGGCTGAAACACGTGCAAAGTATTTTTCTGCAGGTGTTAATCGTACTTCATTAGAAACAATTGAAAAAGCAGCATTTATACTTATTTTGGATGATGAAGAATATGATATAGGATCAGTTAGTTGATTAGATTAGTTTTTATTTTTATAATAGATTCTTTTTCTATTAAATTAATTTAGTTGAATATGAATTCATCAACACAGAATAGTGCAGTAAGAAAAATCGATATTAATATTATCATTATAGACGATTGTTTTATTTAGGAAAAATCAGAAAAATTCGATGCATATGCACGTGCTATCCTTCATGGAAAAGCATATAATCGTTGGTTTGATAAATCATTTAATTTCATTTTTAGCAAAGATGCTGTGGTACGTACATGATAAATAAGAAAATTTTTTATTCTATTCGTTTTTTTTTTCTTTAGGCTGGAATTAATGTTGAACATAGTTGGGTAAGATACAATACATGCTTCTTTTTTTATCAATTTATAATCTAACTTATTTTTCAAGGCTGATGCTCCAATTTCTGGACATATGGTTGAATATGTACTTTCAGAAGATATTTTATATTATGGGTATGTTATATCGAAAGAATCAATCTGACTATTTCTTATTTTTTATTATTCTAGTTATGATGAACTTGGTAATACACGTGGTGTACCACGTTTTACAGCACCTAAACCAACAAGACTCAAATGGTTAATTCCAGAAAGCGTAAATAATATTTTTATTTTCATTATTATATTTTATACAAAATGAAAAAATTTTAGTGTAATATTTTAATTGAAAAAAGTCTTGCTCAAGCAACAAAAGTATTCAATGATGTTGATCTTCATACGTATATTCAAGATGTTTATGGAAAAGGTTTTATAAAGAAATGTAAAGTATCACCAGATGCTTATGTTCAAATGGCACTTCAATTAGCACATTATCGAGTAAGTCGATAGATTTGTTTTTGTTTTATTTTATGAATATTTCTAGGATACTGGTCGATTTAATTTAACATATGAAGCATCAATGACACGTTTATTTCGTGATGGTCGAACAGAAACTGTTCGTTCCTGTTCAATTGAATCAAGTCAATGGGTTAAATCAATGGAAAATCCAAATATTTCAGTAAAGAAATATAGATTTAAATTATTAGTCTTATTAGTTCTTTTTTCTTCTATAGAAAAGTGAACGAATAAAATTACTTCGTCTTGCTTGTGATTATCATCAACAACAATACCGTGATGCTATGACTGGAAAAGGTATAGATCGACATTTATTTTGTCTTTATGTTTTATCAAAATATTTCAATATGGACTCACCATTTCTTCAACGAGTCCTTCAAGAACCATGGAGATTATCAACTAGTCAAGTAAGTTAAAATCTATTTATTGCATTTTCTTAATAATAAAATAAAATGAATTTTTTCTTTTCTTTTTCAGACAGCAACAACTTATGATGAAAAACATTTCCGAAAATTAATGGCACAAAATCCGGATTTAGTTCGTAAATATGGTATAGATGATCAACGGAATTTGGCACCATATGGTGGCGGTTTTGGACCAGTGAGAATTATAAAGTTTTTTAATCTTATTATTGTTGCATGCTTATATTATATGTTGTCTACTTACACTTTCTGTTTTTGTTTACGCGTAACTAACAAACACTCATTTTTGATGAAGATCAATAGACTAATGATGAGTGTAGAAAGAAAATATTTATCGTAAAATGGTAATTGTATATCTGTAAGCTAGATTCTCTTCTGGACCGAGTATTTCTCAAGAAAATAGTACGTATTACTCGCTATTAATTGCTGATTGTTTATATATTTCAAGAATCTGTTTTTAAATAATATGTATATTTTCTAGGTAGCTGCTGATGGATATGGTGTTAGTTATATAATTGCAGCAGAAGATCTGATTTTTTTTCATATTTCATCCAATAAATCTGCTGGAGAAACGGTAAGAAATTGTTTTATTAATTATTGATTTTGTTTTTAAATACATATATTTTATTAGGATTCAAAACGATTTGGTGAACGTATTTGTCAAGCAATGAAAGATATGCGAGATTTATTTGAAGGTGAAATCAAATTTGAAAAGAAAAATTGAAAAATGATCTCATATAACATCATTTTTCTATATCAATTTAATATTACATTTCCATTCTATTACTGTATCATTCCTTTTTCTTTCCTTCTCAATATTAGAAAATTCCTCTTTGTACATTTCCATAATCTCAACTAACCAGGCTTGATTTTTTATTAACATATATATATATAAATATATATGTATATTAATCAAAAAAAAAACATAAAATAAATTTAATTGACGTTTAAAAATTTTTCGGATTGTTCGTGTTTTTTCAAATAAATAATGCAGGAATATATGCTTATATGAAAGAAAATATTTTGTATATTTAAATAAGAGACAAATATATGTCAGTTGATCTTTACAATTCTATTAAATTGGCAAGAACTATACAGGTCTATACATGAAGATAACATCTCTTGATTTCAAATCGATGTATATTACATTAATTTTATCATTTTTTTAATGTATACTATATTCTATTTCCTCATATAGTATGTACATCGAATATCAACAGAAAAAGTAAAGATATCATGGCCATCATATAACAAACACAATCAGTATCTGAATGTATGAAGATACGCATGAGTGATAACTAAGTCATTATGTACCTTTTTTTTTGAGTACAGTATAGATATACGTCTACACCATGTAAAGCATTTATTATTCTTTCATTCTTAATATATCATTCATTAGCGCAGCCGCTTTTCATTCAATATGAACAACTACATTTCATTTCGGCAATATGGTGAGTTAATCATTTTTGTTGTTATATTAAACAAAATGTAGTCTTATCTGATTTAGTATATTTTCTATTGATACTTATTTGACTGACAATCATCCCTCGACTTAGAAACTCTATAGATTCGATACATTATATTGTTGAGATATATGAATCAAACGCAGTTTTTCAAGAGCTACATACATTTTATATTATAATTTTATTTGTATTATGCAACGCATGGTATGAGTAGATACTTTTCCGTGTTGGTACTTGTGATGCTTGTAGTTTTGAATGTTCGTTTTGAGGAATACTCGTAGATAATAGTGCTAGGGAATCAATGACTATGCGTTCTATCCAAAACAGCAAAACTACTCTCTCAACAATACTGATGTTTATTGCTGAACTAACATAAACGTGACTTGCTAAAACTGAACTCCTCCCAAACAACCATACAAGTATATGCAACAGATAATTCATTTTGTCAGCAACAACGTATCTTGGGAAGTGTTAATGGCCCTTGTGATCTGTTTTACTCAACACGTATTCTCAATTGATTATCAATGAAAAAACTATTTCGAATTATGGTACTATTTTTTTAAATAAATGTACACGCGAAAGGCTATTGGTATACTGATAGTTTGCTACTTTTTTTTCTGTTCTTCTGTTATTAATCCAGTTTAATTGTTCAATACAATAATAAATTCTAAATGAAATTTTTTGTAATACTTAGAAAATGTCAAACAATAAATTCTTAAAATATGAAAGGTATAGTTAATATCATTTTATTGATTCTTATTATTCAGTAGGTTACCAAAACTTCGATCAAGTTCGAGAAGAATCTATTTCAGTGTTCAGTCAATAAATCGCGATTATTACTATAGGAATATATGAAAGAATGAAATGATTAATTCATACAAATGTTAGTATATTTATTTTGTTTCAATAATAAAATATTTTTTCTTGTTAAATTTTCTCATTATAAAAATATAATAAATAAATTTCTTTTTTCTAATTTGTTCGTAATTGCTGTAGTTTATCGAGTGATGAATTCCAATATGATCGATATCGAATTAATTCTGTGAGATTCGTTGAAGATTTTGTTTCAATATCAGTTAAGATTTTCGTTAAATTATCTTTATATTTCTATAATAAATAATAAAAAAATAAGATTATTAAAGAATAGAATGAGCTAACTTGATAAGCATGATCTCTTTGTGATATTGTTTGAATTTGTGGTAGAGTTGTTTTTTGTGTAACAATCGAAGCGGTTGTTTTTTGTTGTTGACTATGAGCTGATGAACGTTTTTTTGGTACGTTAGTTTTACCATGTCGATTTAATTGATCATCAGGTAATGGTAAGCCTTAAAAAAATATATTTTTCTTTAAATTTAATATTTGTATTTGTGATATGTTTATTGAAGACTTATGAATGTCGTATTGATTTTTTTTTGAAACTTCGATTAAGAGAAAATTTTACCTATAGATTTCTCACGGGTAGTAGATCTCTATATATTTCTTTACTACATAATAAATCAATGAATGAAAACGCTAGAATTCAATCAAGCTTTTATTACTGATGATGAAAAACACATAGAATACTATTAGTATGCAATTTCATTAATATTAAAGTAGTTCTTTTATCATACGAAATAATTTATTGAAACAATTCTGTTAATCCTCTTTCATTTGTATTTACCTGGCCAATGACCTTGTTTACGTTCAATTAATGGTACAGATTCTATTTCTTCTAACGGTCTTCCAGTTCGTTGACGTCTAATTAATTCCAAAAGAGATTGTTTTGCTTTAGGTAATCCTAAATATGATTATAAATAAATCGTTTTTTTTTTTGTCTGTATTTTATTTTATACTTGTTTGTATCACTTCATCAGCTGTTAATATTTCATCAAAAAGAATAACTAAACGTTCGGCATTTGTTGCTAATGCTTCAATAGTTTTTTGTGTATTTATTTGTATATCTTTCTAAAAGAAAAAAATAATACGATTTAGATTTTTTTCTAAATGAAAATTTCAAAGTGAAATATTTTACAATTGTATTTGTTCGAAGTTGATTAATAAATTTTTCCAGAGTATCTTCACGTATTTTTTCTTGATTATCAAGTGTTTCTAAATCCGACTTTTTTGCTGGAAGTCCAATAGTTGGACGAAGTAATTCAAAATATTTTTGTTTTTCATCGGTTGATACATTTACATTTTGATTAAATATTGTATCGAATTGTTCTTTTAATTCGAAAAGAATTTTTTCACCTTGAATTATTTGTTCATCAAGTTCCATTTTAGCCATTGATGATGATGCACGTTCAAACACTTCGAGTATATTACGAAATTCTAAAGAAATTATTTTTTTGTGAAGAAAGAAAAGATATTAAATTCAGACCATTAATTGAATATCCATGATGAGAAAGACATTGTTCTTCGTAATTTTTTAATTTCTCAACCATTACTTCAGCAAAATCATCGAATTTTTCACGTAATGCTTGAGGACGAGTTACACGACGAGAACCTTTTTCTTTATAATACATCTGATTTAAAAAGAAATTTGGAAGATAATGTTAAGATTTTATTAGTAATATACCTCAGAATGAGAGAGTAAACCTTCAGTTGTTTGTCGAAGAATATTTAAGATTTTAGATATAAAATCATAACCAACATGTTTTCTTTCACCAAATGTACAATAAAGTGCATAGAGTTCATCACGAGTTCTAGTACGAACAAAACCTTGTCGAACAGCTGCTCCTGCTTCGTCGTTAGATGAACTACGATGGGAAATTATGTTTTTTATAGATACAAAATTGTAAGGTTTTACTCTTTTTGTTGTCCACTCTTTTTTTTTAGTTGTTGTTTGAATTTTTTTGAATTCAATAATGAATTATTCTTCTTTGAACGTGGCTTAGATTCTAAAAAAGATGTACAAAGATTTTTTCATGTTATTTAAACATTATTATGTATTAATCAATTCGATAATATACAAACCCGTAGTTGTTGGAACTGGTTCTACAACTTCATCAGATCCTGCTTCGAGATTTTTGCTACTACAAGAAAAATCTTAAATTAATAAATTCTTTTCGTTATAATTAACATACTGAAGAAGAGATCGTATAGTTGAAAATGTATTTGAATCATCTTGATGTCCACCAGTAGAACCCACTTGAGAATTTGAACCTATTACAAGTCGAGATAATGTTGGTGATGTTGATGTAAATCTAACTGCTTTTGTATCATCATTATTATGTCCTGTACGACCACTCACTCTCGATGCTCGTCGAGTTATATTTCCTTCATCTATTGCTGAAGTATTATGAAGATCATTCACTAATTCCTCTAAATATAAAATCGTTAAATTTATCTCAATAAATTTTAACTAATTACCTTCAGTAATTAATCCTTTATTTTTAAGTACACTTATAATTGAAGCTGGTATAACTAATTCATTAGGAAGACATTTTAAATATAATGCTCGTTCATAACTATTTAAAACAATTTGATGAAAAAGTTCTCGAATTTCATTTATTGTTGCTGTCTGAAAAACAGAAGATTAAATAAGTAAAAATGATTTTTTTCAAATTTTATATCTTACTTCTTTATCTAAATTTGGATTAATAATAGAATCAATTTTACTCTCATATAATAAAACAAGTGTTTTAAATGTATTTGCTTGTTGATTATTATTTCCGACTTCAGTTTTTATTTTAACTTGTGCTTCACTTATCCATCGATTTGTTAATTCAATAAATTGTAAATCAATCATATGATATCGAAATCTAAAGAAAAAAGATTATAAAACAAAAATAAATAAAAATTAATAATTAACCGTTCGCGGAATTGTCCCATTATTTTATTAGCTTGTTCTAATTGTCTTTTTTCAATTCTTTCCATTTCTTTTAATAAACCTATTTCAGTTTTATCAATTAATAATGCTGTTTGTTCAAGTTTTCTTCGATAACTTTCAATTTCCTCAGGACTATAATTTCCACCTTCAGTAAATGTTCTAAAATAAAAATAAAATCAATTGGAAAATTTTGATATAACAAAAAAAACATTTTTTACTGAAATGAATTTCGAAAATTAGCATTTGCTTGTCGTAAATGATGTACTTTAAGATCAAATTGTCTACGAAAATCTCTCAATGATACTCGAACATAATCCATAAATGTATCACGTTGTCTTTTTAAACGATCTTGTAATAATATAAGACGACCAGTTGTTGTTGCATTAACAAATATATGTTCTAAACTGTTTACATCATTTTTATAAGCATCAACTGATTTATTAAATTCATTTAAGATTTGATCATAATCACCACTGATTTGATTTAATCTTTCTTCAACACCAGACATATGACGTTCAATTCGATCAATATGCGAAACAATTTCAGCTAATAAAGAAAGAAATTTATTTAATAGAATAAAATGTTTTATATTGGAGACTTCACACCCACACTCACACTCAAGATAGTTTTTATAGAAAAGAATGAAACAAATATGAATTATGATTTTACCAGTTCTGACATGATATATATCGCTCTCAATTCGTGCATGTCTTGGTTCATGTAAATGAATTTGAAGATCCATTTCTTGATCTAATTCATAATGTTTTGAATACATAACTGCATCAGCTCGCCGAGTAGCTTCTTCTTCCCAATGATCATAACAATCAAGAAAAGCTCGACATAAACTAATATAATACAATGTAAGAAATACTTTTTTTTTCATAAAATATTTAAACAAAAACTCACATAAACATAATCGATTCTACAAGATTAGAAGGTATTCGAAATAGTTGACAAAATGGTACTGATACTGTTGTTTCATTTGTTGCAGATACATCTTCAGTTATAAATGTCGGTATGTCACCTTGATTTTGTTCATCAGATTCATGTTTTGATCGATTATCACCGAGTGAACTACTTCTTTCTGATACTGATGAGTTTGATTCTCTATCTTCATTATCATTATCCTCTTCTTGTATGACATCTGATTTCTTCTTAGTATGAGGTCTAATTTCATAAGTTTTTCGTGCTAAAGATGTTGTATAATATTGATTTTGTACGGAAGATGATTCTTGTTCATCATCTGCATTTGGATCTATTTGTCGAGCTTGAAAATAATCAAGCATTTCATTTCTATATCGATTAACTTCTCCAGCAATCATATTTAAATATTGATTTACAACTGCATGTTCTCTATCATAGAATGTAGCATAACTAAATATGAAAAGATAAATTAATACATTTAAAAATTTAATTGAGTTTTTTATTATTTACGTTGCTTTAATTCTATCAAGTTGTGTATGAGCAGATTTTAAGAACGCTGCTAATGCTGTTCCATTAGATGAACTTCGCATTTCATCTAAAGTTACATCAAGTTTTGCTAATTTTTTCTACAAGAAAAAAATAAGTATATTCAAATTCAAAACAAATAAACTTACTTCATGTTCAAGATCATGTGGTCGTCGACATTCTTGCATCATTTCAAGTAATTTTTCAGTTACATGTTCCAATCGAACTTGATGATTATCCCATTGTTCAACTAAAGGTTCAATAAAAGCGAATAAACGTTCAAGAACATCGTACATTGCATGTGTTAATTTTTCATAGACATCCTAGAATATATCAAAAAACTTATAACTACAGACAAGAGAATATTAATAGTTAATCTTAGAAAACTATTCAATTAAAAATCTGACATACTTCCATTCGATCGCCAATTGATTCTTTTAAAAATTGTTTACGTTCTTCAATTAATGGTATAAAATCTCGTTCAAATACCATTTGTGTCTGTTCCTCATCATATATATGTCCATGAATGACTTCATCCTATTACATCAAATAAATGATTAAAATTCTATTTAATTTTGATTTTACTTGAGTTTTGTCTGCTTCTCTATTTAAGAAATCGATTTCATTTGTAATAACTTCATTTATTTTACGAACAAGTTCTTGTCGTTTATGAACAATTGTATCAACTATATCATAACCTTGATTATACCATTTTTGTGCATTTTCACGTGTTGATTTAGGTGGAACAAATGAACTATAACAGATAATATAATTAATTTAAAAACAAAAGAATTACAAAATCACTTTAATTGATTTATATGTGAAATAAATAAATGTGTTTGTGCACTAATATCTGAACCGATGGGTTCACATGTTGATAGAATTGTTGGTTCTAATTTAGCTCTACATTGAGATAATTTTGCACTAAAAAAATTTAAGAAAAAAAATAAAGTATTCAAACTAATTAATTAATTGTGTATTACATCCATGTTTGTTTAAGTAAAATCCATGATGCATCACTCCATTTACTCTGATGATTAACAAGTTTACGCTGATAACGATGCGCACGTACTGTTTCTCCTGCTAATAATCTCGCTTCAAGTTCTGCATATATTCGACGATTATCAAGTATTTGTGTATTTAATTCCTAGATATAATCAAAATGAATTTCTATAAATTATTTTTTCAATACTAACATTTGCTTGTTTCTCTAATTGTAATGCAGTTTCTTTATCGGATAAATGATGTGTTTGATATAAACGTTTAGAATAATCTTTAAATAAATCACGAATCTATTTTATTGTAAAAAAAATCAAATGTTTTTTTTAATCGAGAAAGAAAAGAAAACTTACTTTATGAATTCGTTCTAATTCTAGTTCTTCTATTGATTGACAATATTCTTGAATTTTTAAAAGACGTGGTGAAAGTAATTTATCGAGTTGTTTAAATCCATGATTAAATGATTTAATTGTTAAAAGCGTAATATCTTTTTCAGAAAATAATTTTTCTAAATATTTATCAATTTCTAAAAAGAAATATAACAATGAATATGAATCTATTATTTTCGAAAAAATAAATTTATACCTTTATCACCTTGTTCATAATATTGATTACATTGACGAGTAATTTTTTCAAGTTCAATTAAAAGATTCTAGAAAGAAAGCAAGAAGTTTTTTTTGCTATTTTAAACTAATTTTTGTTTTGATAATAATTACATGATTAATATCAGATATTTTATTTAAAAATTCTGTCCATAACTCATCAAATTGGGACTGTCGTTTAGATGTTATTCGTTCAGTTAGATTTCCTTTAGTAGCACTGTTAGTATTATCATCGGTTTCAACTATTTTAACAAATAGAAAAAAAGAAGATATTTAATCGATTAAACTCAATATTAAATACGAACAATATTCGGGATTATCAGGTAGATTAAAAACTTCACGTTTTAATTCATCTAATTCTTGTTGTTGTTCATTTTGATATCGTTTTCGTTCATCATGAAATCTAAATTATTTAATATATCATAATCAAATAAAGAAACGGAATGAAATCTTTAAAATTCATACAGAATTGTTATTGGATTTATATTAGGATCATTACTGTATGGCAAACTTGCCATCCATTGTCGTTTTTGTGTATCTAAGCAAATACATAGAATAATAAAATCATGTTTTGATTTCTTCTAATATAACGTAAGTCAATATTTTCATAAGTAAAACATTCATTTGACTTTTTTCTTTTTTTTT